AAGTTTGAACGTGAAATAGGGCTTATTGTAAGAGCACTTTGTTAAGCTATCCACTATCAGTTACTAGATTTTATTAGCTACCTAGAATTGTCTACAACCATTAAAAAAAAACCACTAGAAAACAAACACAGTAGAGCAATGCAAAAATAATCCGACCAATAAGATTATCTAGTCTTCTGATTGATGCTTATCTGACAACACACATTTCATTCAACTTGTCCCCATATGTGATTACCAGATTAAACTTAGATCATTTCTGCACTGCAAAAATGTTAGAAAGATTTATGCGGAAAGAGAGAGAGAGAGCGCGCTCTACTAAGCAAATGGCAGGAAATAAAATAAATTCAGTAAAATCATATGCAAAAGTTTGTTGCATTGCAATCATTCTGAGTGAAATGAAATTTAAATAAAAATACCTGTCACCTGACTTGTCCAGATGTTTTGTAACCCTGATGCTGGCAGAACTGTGTGGAGAAGGAAGTGCTACATCATCCTCCATTCCACTTTCTATCAGAATAAAGTGTCCTTATATTCAGAGGCTCATCCTGTGTTTATTGGCATCTTGAAGATCTTCTCTAAATATGTTTGCTATATAACCCTACGGCTTCTGGATTGCTTCTTATGCCAGGCATCAGATTCATTGAGGCAAAGCAGGAAGCAACTATCTGTTACATTACATCTCAAATTACTTCATTTCTGGTTAATAATCAAATTTCCCCCAATTACATTCATTATTGCTTCAACTTTCTCCATATGTGATTGTTAAGCATTTATTACTACTGGGACGTTTATTCCAATTATTCTTTGGAATTACGGTAAGCCTCTATTAGATGGATCTTTTGAGAAAATGATACCTTAACTAATAGAGCCTTCTGATTTCCTAAATAGTATCCTACAGACACAGGACCATTCTTTGGGAGGTAAACAAATGTTCTACCACAAGAGAAGAATGGGGAGAAAAATAAGACATAGTGGAGAAAGGTTGAGTTGAAGGATATTTTTCTCAGTCGAATAAATTTAAAAAGCATTTGACCTCGGGACTCCACTAATGGGCTTCTTCAAATCAAGAATAGGCATTGTGAGTCATGAAGAAAATAAATAGCCATTTAAAAACTTACATAGCCAAAAGACCTTTTCCCTGAAGTCACCTAGCATTGTAGATGATTTTACTTGGTGAGTAGTTTTAAGCAATCATCTTCTAGGCTGTCTTATGCCAGGAGTGGTGGACTCCTCTGTCCCCTGTGTGAGATTGGCCCTGCTAAGCACTAGAGCCCTCCTCCATCAGACAAGCCTTTCAGAATACCTAGGAAAAGGAGCTACTCAGTACACACAGCGGATTGCGATAAGCATTTGTTGAGCTAATAAACTCCTGGCATGGTAAATTGATTAAATTTTAGTGAGGATTTTGTGGCCCTAAAGTTCCTTGTCTGTAGAACAAGAGGGTTGTCTAGTGTCTCTTGGGTTCTCACACCCTTAATCTTTTGATTCTGACTTCACAGTGGCTCAGGAACACCATGCCAGTTACTCCTTGTTCTACAGAATTCTAAGAGGACCATGGAAGCTCCTAGTAATTCAGACTAGTCTTCTAGAGTGAAAAGATGCCCTATAATGTCTCCGCAAATGGTGGTTTATTCCTTCTCCTCTCCTGCCCCCAAACAAAATGCAGACATGTTCTGAGCAACCAATGGTTATGTTTTCTTCCCTGCTAAGTAGTTGGTTTTTGATATAAAATGTTGTCTCTTTTGGTAATGGAAGTCATGTGTCTATCCTAACAAGGGAACTTGGGAAACATGCTAATAGTCAGTTGTTTACAGTAATTTTCTGCTAGGAACTGCCAACTCAAGAGTTTTACTGATTTTTTTATAATAAAATATTACCCTTCAAGCCATTGCAAATTTTATGTGTTAGTGTTTTTGTAATCCTGATTTTATGCCACATTATATAACTGTTGAAGTTTTTCTGTTGCTGATTTTAAAACAAAGCAAGATCATGGTTCCTGCAGATGGACAGCTAGGAAAAGCACACTATGCTCTACCAGCACAAGCAGAGCTGGAAGCGGCCACGGGGCTGTATCAGTCACTGGTGTCCTCTACTCCAATCCAGGTCTGATGTTTGCCTGGAGACAGCGTCAGACCCCATAGACCGAGTCCTCTACTCCAATCCAGGTCTGATGTTTGCCTGGAGACAGCATCAGACCCCATAGACCGAGTCCTCTACTCCAATCCAGATCTGATGTTTGCCTAGAGACGGCATCAGACCCCATAGACCGAGTCCTCTACTCCAATCCAGGTCTGATGTTTGCCTGGAGACAGCATCAGACCCCATAGACCGAGGGCTTTGTTCCAAGACTGCCTCTACCCTCGAGCGACTTTTACAAGTCCTCACTAATTTTTGCCTGTGCTTCTCATGACTTCTTCTTCTGAACTAATTTTCTCAAGCTACTCAAAAAGCTTGAGAAAACGCTAATATTTACGAGCTGCTTATTGCGAGTTGTGTTTCAGGGGACACAGATGAAGCAATACACAGGGTGATGTGCATGGGAAGGGGTACTGAGCTCCAGTGCCCTGAGAACACCATCCTCCAGGAACTGCAGCCTCTTCAACTGTCTAGAAGCTCTGCCACCTTGTCCTTTAGGTTTCATAGACTTCATGACATAAATTGCAAGCAGAAGAGGTCTAAGGGGTATCTATTCACATTCTTCTTGTTGTCTTTGTGGAATACTGCTTGTTCCATCAGAGTTGGGGGCGGGGGGAACAGGACCCACAAAGAATTCAGAGGGTCTTATGTCCGACTATGAGGCCAGGTTAGTTTGAAGAATGTCTTTATGGCCAGGTTCAAGACAGGCAAGCAAGGGGAAATTAAGGATTTTGTGACCAGCTTTAGGGAGGGTGGATGAGCCAGTAACTGTGAACAAAACCCAAAACAATATATATGATAATTTCTCAGGATGACAAAGTACCTGTCCCACTTAGCCCCAATGGTGCTAGAGATCTCATTTGTAAAATATAAATAACTGTATGAATATTTTGTATCCAGACAACACATCGCCAGAGCTCTCATGATTGATGAGGTTTCCTATTACTGTTTTCTCCTCTAAGCGGCCAGGGTACTTCCCAAGCATCCGCCCTATTAATCACATCTCCCTAGGAAAGAAATGGGTTGAATACGCCATTGCCCTGATTTCACAAAGGTAGAGAAAAATGTTACAGGATCAAAGAGGTTTTTTTTTTTCCAAGGTTACCTAAGATCCTATTGTGTCTGTGGTTTGGAAAAAAAGAGATCCCTGGTTTCCAGTCAGTCAGAAGAGTCTGTTCTTTCCAATTCAAAATTTCATCCAGAATATGAGACAACAGGCAATTTAATATCTATGGTTGCCAATGCATGAATTGTGTGATAGAAAGTGCAGACTCATTAATATGCAAATATACAGATATAAAGTGATTTTCTTTACTAACCACAGTGCTTCCCACTTCTCAGGAAAAAAAATGATGTCTTTATGAAAAGAGAATAGAACTGAGAAGGATAGCAAGCTTGTCAATTTATTTTCATGAACATATGAGGAAGTGTGTGCAGCTATTACTCACTCTTGGGAATAACTCTCAGAGTCTGGGGAGGAAGAAGAGATTCACTGACCCTGTTGGTGCACTGTGCCAGGATGCTCTCTCCAAATATTAGCTTGCTAAAGGGATTTAAAGCTCTAAGAGAAAATTCAAATAAATGCCCAAAAGACTGATGCTACAATACCTAAGTGATTAGCCCTGCATTGTTTCCCTTGCACTGAAAGCGTTGGAAGAATGGAACAGATGGGTCTCTTTGGAAGTCAGAAGGGAGAAACAGGTCCTATATTGCACTGTGCTTTGTTGGAACGATTCACAGCCTTAAACCACTCTGCCTGTGTCCAGAGAGAAATGGAATCCAGCCTGTTCTCCCCAGTGCTCAGTGTAGACTTTATTGTTCCCATTGTGCACAGCAAATGAAAGCAGAATCAGAAAAGAGCTTCTGGAACTCTTAGGAAATGACAAGGAGAGTAACCAAAGGTCTGACTTTATTTGGTTGTTTGACTCAGTTAGTTTTAAATTATGAATAATGGCAAGCATACAGAATAGAGAGAACAGTGTTATTTACCTCCTGAATTTCACAATAGAGGTGGATGGATATACGTAGACTTTTTGTTTTGTTGTAGTTTGTTTGTTATGTTTTTTTCAGCCTGTTGGCCAATTAATTTCTCAACAAGAAAAAGTTAGTTCAATGTGTCTGCAAGCCTATACTCCATGGTGATGCTTCCAGGGAGGGGGTGAAACCCCAAACATCCTAACAAACAGCAAGTAGCACATCAATAGCCCCTTACTCTATAAAATAGCCAATCTTGATTATCAACTTGATGGTATTTACGATCACCATGGAAACACACATGTGAGCATATCTAGGAAGATGTTTCCATAAAAGTTTAAGAGGGAAAACCCAAACTGAATGTAGGTGGCTTCATTCCATGAGCAGGGGTCATAGACTGAGTTCAAAAGAGAAGCAAACTCTTGGCTACCTGTTTGTGACTGTGCCTCCTGCTCCTGCCATCGTGCCTTCCCTGCCATGATGGGTTAGAATCCCTCGAACTATAAGACAAAATAAACCTTTTCTTCCCCAATTTGTTTCTTGTAAGTTACTTGATCACAGAAATAAGAAACATAAAAATATATTACACCTACTAAATTTCACTTTTCTCCAACATTATCCCATAATTTACATTCCAACGTCCCCTGACAACGAGTATAACTTTCTCATTTTTACATATGTGATTTTTTTTTTTACAAAAAGTGAACCAATAGATTGAAAGACATACAGATAATATAAAGAATGAATCCAAAAACATCTTATTTCTGGCCCAATCCTCATTTTGAAAGAGAGTTCATTAAAAATATTTAATCAGAAAAAAAATTCAGAATTCTGTAACCTCTGAGCAGGGCATGGAGGCTACTCTTCACTGCCGGCGTGACTGGACTTACCATCATTGAGGAGACGTTCCTAGGTTGGTCCATAAAGGGTTTACAGAGAGGCTTAACCGAAAAGGAAGACAGCATCCCATATGACAGGATCCTGCAGTGGATAAGGAGAGGGTGAGTCAGGTGCTACCGTTCATTTTTTTTTATGTTTCTTGGCCGAAACGTAATTTGGGTATTCTCACACTCTGACCCCTGTCCCTTTCCCAACTTGACAGATTCCACGCTCTCGAGCCACAAGCCAAAGCCAAACCACCCACCCTCCAATCATTTCTTGGGTACTTGGTCACAGCAATGAGTAAAGTAACCAGTATATCAAGAGCGTCCTCATAAAACATCAAATAAATACCTAATATAATTGGGATTACGTGACCAATAAGCTTTCCTGTTACATAGGAGACCTGCTGGTATTTTGTTTTACTCTCTCTCAACCTGCCTTTCTTATTCCTAGCAAACTCTGGTCCATGCCACTCTTGTATACAAGGGAGGCTTGACTGAGTGTCTCAGTTACACTAAGCAGCCCATGTCTCCTCATTCCCATCCATAAAACTAGATAGCAAGCACTGAGGAGACCCAAGGGGCTCACCTGAGAGTGGTTATCGCTACTGATACCGTATTTCCCATCTATATAACCATGCGGGTAATGTAAAAATGATACGTAACATTTGTTAAATGAAATAAAGCATTTTGCCTCATTGAATCTTGTGTACATTATAGATGCCATGATTTTTGAAGCACTGTGAGCACTCACGGTACAGTTTTACACAACTCGGAAGTAATCATGCAAGGCCTCTCCACCCACATGGACATCTTCTCTCAGATCCAGTCCTTCCTCCCCTTCCTCTCAGCTAGGAAACATAATCGGGCAGTGCTCAGCTGCTCCTCAGACATCACCTCAGCCCAGAAACCTTCATAGTTTCTTCTTCTAAATTCTTGGCGTTTTTTGACAATACCTGCCAGTAACTGCTGAAAATGTTCCAGATGGACCTGGCCAAGCTTCTGATCTTGAAAGCAAAAACGTCATGAAGATCTGCTCATTTAGCCTAAATGAGTCGGGTAAATACACACACACACACACACACACACACACACACACACACACACAATCTATAATCCTGTGTGTTGCCCAAAGGAAAGAAAGGGGAAAAGGAAAAAACAAGACGTAGTCATTCTCAGGCGTTTCTGGAAATATGAGACAGCAAAATAATATCTAGTTCTCCCATCCAGCAAGAGACGGCTGCTAGAGCAGATCTGATACCAGACCCTAGCAGGTTAGGCAGAATCCAAGTGTGTGTGCATGCATGCATCGGTGTGTGTGTGTGTGTGTGTGTGTGTGTGTGTGTGTGTGTGTGTGTGGTGTGTTTTCCTGTGCAAAAAAACTAAAGGCATTTTCCCCCACAGAATTTGTTCCATGTCACAAACCTGATATGTAAGACTTTGAGTCCAGGTCCCTCTGATAAGAGAGACCCATGTAAAACTCTGTCTCTATACTGATATCGTTTATACACATGCTGAGTTAGTTAGAGGCTTTCCTTGTTCTGTTGATTTGTCTTGGTATTGACAAACTGGTGCTGAAATGTTTCATTATATTATGGCTAAGTGCCCCATTCCCTCCATTGCTCTTTTAAAAAAAAATCTTGCATAAGAGATTATTCTAGAAATATTACTTACAGAATGTTACTCTGCTGTAAAAGGAAAAGAACGAATGTAATGCTGCCATTTGCAATAATAGGCATGAGCCTACAAGACTCCATACTAAGTGAACCAACAACACAGAAAGACTGATGCTATATGATCCCACTTATGTGTGACCTCACACTGATGCACTCATGGATGCAGAGGAACATGGAGAAAAGTTGGCTCTTGGGCAAGGCTCTTTGTTAGTCTTCTCTTGTTTCCATGACAAAGCACATAAGGTAACCAATTCAAACAGAGAGAGGTTTATTTTGGCTCAGTTTCAGAGCTTTCTGTCCATAGTTCACAATGCCATTGCTTTTGAGCCTGTGGTGAGGCATCACCACATGGCATCTAGGAGAGAGAGACAGAGAGAGAGAGAGAGAGAGAGAGAGAGAGAGAGAGAGAGAGGCATCACCACATGGCATCTAGGAGAGAGAGACAGAGAGAGAGACAGAGAGAGAGAGAGACAGAGAGAGACAGAGAGAGAGAGAGAACACGGGTGCTGGACTCACGGGTGCTGGACTCCCAATGTCCTCTTTAAAGACACACCTCCACTGTTCCAACTTCCTTTCACTAGGCCCCAACACTTAAAAGATTCCACCACACCATAATAGTCCCATAAGCTGGCAACCAAGCCTTTGACACTTAAGTCTTCGTAGAACACATCTATAGACTTGTGTTGCCAAGATGAATAACTTCTGATAATATGGGGTACAGCATGGGTGGTCATGGCTGTGGTAATTAAATTGACTATAGCAACCACCACACAATGAATACATATCAACTCATTACACAATACAACTTGAATGTAAAGCATCTTTATGTGTCAAACATTTGTCTAAAAAATAAAAGAACTTGGGTAGCAAATTGGAGGAAGACAAGATTATGTTTAATCCAGATACAAAATGAGGATAGGAATGCAGTACAAAGGACAAGAGAGAATCCTCTTCCCACAGTAACTTCTGCCACAGTGTCCCTCCTCCCAGGCTTGGCACATTGACAGTCATTGGGAAGGAGACGAGAGCAGAACTCAGGAGATAGAGATCAGCATGATCTGGTCACTTATAATACAATGACCGTGAGAGGACGAGACCATTCTCAGATTACCAGCCCCAGCAAGTGCGTGGATGTGGGTGTCCCTGGCATCACATGGGAAATGATGCAAGTTGAGGCTAAGGGAATGAGTTAGAGGGTGTGTACGTTATCCCAGAACAGAACTCCAGGAGCATCCGCAGTCTGGAGAAGATGCAGGGCTTGAGGGCTGGACCATTACGCTTTCTCTAGAGAGTGAAGCACGACGGAAGCTGTCACAAAGAGGTCATTGGAGGGAAGCCTTGAGAACTAGGCTCATCTAGTTCAGGTTCTATTTGGTCAGTGGTCATCAGCCTGGAATCCAAGGGACCATAGCATAAAGAACTGGGCTATTTACTTTAAGGCAACACATGAAACCCGAACTCAATGCTGCAGTTAAACCAGGTGGGCAGCCTTGAGCTGGCCATGCAAAGCACACGATCATACTGAACACTTAACAAATATGCCAGGCAGAGTTCTATGTGCTTTAACATGTTAACTTATTCCATCCTTACTACAACCCAATGAGGTAAATGCTATTACTTCTCCCCACAGAGGAGATGGAAGATCAGGGAGCTTGTACAGTCAGGCTGGTTCTGAAGTCTAGGCCTAGAACCTTACACAGCACTGCCCTCCACAACGAGGCGCTGAAATCAGGTTTAGAGAGCCTGGAGTGACTCCTGCTGGCCCCAGCTGTCACTGCAAGTCAGCTTGCGGTTGGTGGAAGCTTTCTCCTTAGCCCAAGAAGAACACCCGCAGACCATCTCTTGCTGGACCTGGAGGCAGAACCATCTAGTATTCAGCAGGGCCCTGAGTCTTCTTCGGAATGAATATGTATTGTCGGAGCTATTCACAGCTTGACAGGGAAGTGCCACAGACGAATAACAGGCCAGGGGAGAAAACTTGTTAGAAGACTGAGTCTCTACCATGTACTTTCCCAGAGACTGCATTCCAAATACTGTCTTTTGCAACGGTTTCCCTTTCTTCTCAACATAATGAAAATCTCTGGCGGTAGCATATCGTGTAAGACACCATGTTGCCCATAGCTTGAAAGAGGAAGGATACAAACTGGACCGATTGGTTTTATCAAAAAGAAATTAAGATCATCTCCTCCCTTGTTTATGTGACTCATCTCACAGAAAGCAGGAATCAAAGGTCATGAATCTTATTTCTTCTGGGCATGTGTCACCACTAAGATACCTTTGTTTTGATAAAGGACTTTCCATCTTCCCAAAGTGTTGTCAGAGGCTGCTTGTTCGTTTCCCAGCTGCCTGAAATAATCACACGGAAACTGTATTCTTACAACCCTGCTTGGCCTAGTAGCTTATGCATATTTTTATCTAGCTCTTATATCTCAAATTAACCCATTTCTATTAATCTGTGCATCACCACGAGGCCGTGGCTTACTGGCAAGGTTCTAGTGTCTGTATCCCTGACTCCATTCACTCTCTCCTCCTCTATCTGCTTGGAATTCCTGCCTTGCCCTATTCTGCCAAGCCACTGACCAAAACAGCTTTATTCATTAACCAATAAAAACAACACATAGACAGAAGGACTTCCCACACCACTAAAGAGAAGGCAAACATATACAGAATTTAGTTCACTTACTATACCTGGAATTCTGTGAGTCAAAACTTAGAGCTCATGGTTTTTTGTTTGTTTGCTTGCTTTTGTTTTTGTTTTTATGATCCAAAAGGATTTATTACTGGGATCCAAGGATGGTTCAGCATATATAAATGAGTAAATACAACTCACCACATAAACAGAATAAAAAATAAAAATCACATGATCATTTCAGCAAAGATAAAACACATTTGATAGAATTTATCTTTTTTTTTAACAAGAATTTATATTTATTCAATTGGTCTACAAGAACTAGTTCCAGGTCAGCCCATGGTCTTTCCGTTGCAACAGATTAGACATAGTTGAGGCCAACCAGATCATCTGTTACTCTACGATTACCAGCAATGCCCACTGGCTTCCACCCAAAGCGCAAAGCATTGCTGGCAGACAGGATAGTCTAAGTGCCACTATTCTCTATACCTTTTTATTCATTTACACTCCATCCCTTCCTACCCATCCCTCTTCCTTAGAGGACAAAAGCAAAACTAAAAGGTGGGAAATAAAACCCTAATGTACAAAGCTGAAAATATAAACAGGGCCCAGGACCAAACCCAGGAATGAAGTGGCTCCATAATGAATTTTAATAAAGCAGGAAACGTAACAGTGGGTGATCCATAGCTGTACTTTACCCTCTGGGCCTTGAACCAAGCGTGAGCTACTATACCACAGGTGCTATGCTAGGTGCTAAGAGTTTGGTGATGAAGACTTATGGACACTGAGTTTATG